TTATAGCTCTCAGTAATAGGGAAGGGTGTTTCACAGGCGAGAGGTGCGAGGTATGAAGCTATTGGAGTAGAACAGACGGCTACATTTAAAAGTTTCTACAGTGAAAGGGTGAGAGCGGGATGCCAGCCTCGTAGGGCGCTTGAACTCATGAAATCTGGGAACCAGAGAAAGCAGCTCAACGGAGCAATTACCATGAAAGTATTTGTAAAAAAAGTCAGAGAGAGGCGACGGCGCATCTGTGAAAGAGCAACTGTAGACGGGATGCCAGTTCAGGGCCACTTATATTATATATCCGCCTCTGGATCATGTCAAGAACTCCGAGGTAAACAGAAGGTGCACCAGACCATAGCAATATTCCATGCAAGGGCGAATGGTTGATTTGTATCGATTCCGAGAAGATAAATTTCCAGGCCCGGCACAGTGAGCCAACTTTCCTTGCGGTGGACGAAGCAATTGACTCCATCTCAGGTCAGCAGTCAATGTGAGACCGAGCAGACGCAGAGAGTTGCTCTCAAGAAGTTGAGCATCAGACATTCTAATGGGGGGGTAGGGAAGGATCTCTATGGCGATTAATAGAGAGCAGTTTAGTTTTTGAGGCGTTAAAGTTGACCAGCCAATTCTTGCCCCAATTAACAACCGATTGGAGGTCCATTTCAAGACGAGCGGCCAGGTTAGTTTTGTCAGCGACACTAGATTTGTTTTTGAGGCAGAAGTAAATTGTAGTGTCGCCCGCATAGATGCCAATTTGGGAATCTATAGCGTCAGGAAGGTTCGAAAATTAATTATAAAAAAAAAAACAACTTTAAGAACTACTATTTTTGTAACAAACTCTTAAAAGCAATATTTCCACTTCAAATCTCGAGTCACCCAACCGTCAAGATATACACTTACACTTGGGTCTTGTATTTGAATATTTAGTCAAGAAAAAAAGCAAAGAAAAAGTAGGCGATAGTTCAAAAGAACAGGACACGTAACTGAAAGGGAATTTATTATGCTAATGAAGGCTTTGAGAAGAATATTTAACAATGATCAATGAAAGAACCGAAAAGTAATTCTTGATAATTTCTAACCTTACTACAGTCTTTTTTTGTACAAGGTCTAAGAACCACTTGAGGTAGAGTATTATTGAGTAAGAGACAGAGTTTATGGGGTAAGTGAGCAATATAACGTTTAGCTATAGATATAGAACGTTTAATTGCTATCCATTTATCTGTCTATCAATTTCAGCCGATTAAAATTAAGTTTGTTCATTATCTATCTATCTATCTATCTATCTATCTATCTATCTGTCAAAATAACCCTTAAAATATATGAAAATAATGCTTGTCAACTGTTTGTGACTATATTTTTGATTTTCCAAGGTAATTCCCTAAACTATTTGAGACTGTGGCGTGTGGTCATTCCGTGGAAAAGTTGCGACGTTTATTAATGTACTTTCCCTCCTCTAGGATTGTTGTAGGATGATTTGGTACTTGGGAGAAAAAGAGAGTGAGGGGGAGAGAGAAATAGAGAGAGAGGTGGGGAGAGAAATATATATACAAAGAGAGAAAGACAGAAAGGAGTGAGAGGCGAAAAAAAACGATATGAACAAAGAACGACAAAGAAATGACCTATCTGAAAAGAGTTGGGGTCTTCTTCAAGATTATGAAATGTGACCTATCTGGAATAGTTGATGTGACGTCCTCCTGCACTGATACCCCGATAAATAATCAAATTTAACAAAAAATGAAGAGAGTAAAATGCTACTGGGGATCTCTACGCCTCGATGAGTTATTTCCATTGGTTTGAAATTAGACACACGGTATATTGGTTTTAAAACTTCCATTAGACTCTCCGAATATCATTGCGAAAAAAAAAAATATATATATGTATATAGGTACCTCCAAAGAAATGTAATACCTAAGATTTAAAATTATTTTTTAAAACTGAAAACTCTTTCTTGAAGTTTCATTTTAGTTTGAATACCAAGATTATAAATTAATATTATATTTGCAATTACCAAAATATTTTGGTATATTGCAAAACGAGTTCAAATTGATTGGAATGTGTTTGTTTTCGAATTCATTAAAAATGGTTGATCAAGCAATATTTACAATTTCTTAGCTCATAAATTTCTTTATTAAAAAAAATAATTCAAAGATGAAATATATTTTATTGAAACTTTATTTGATGAAAATGACCTGATTTAAGGTTTAATTAATCAAATTTGAAACAAATATTACTTGATTTTAGTTTGAAATATCGCAGTGAATCCATTTTAAACACAGAAGAGAGTTTTTATGACATGCTGACAACTATCTCGATAGAGTTATGTTTGGATTTTTTTTCTAGGGGTGGCAATACTGTAAAGATTGTTTGAAAATAAGGTGAGCGCCTTTTTATATAATTTTTTTTAACTTCCCAGTTATCTTAAAAACTTACTAAAATATTCTGAATAATGTAATGTTTAATTGAATTTTACGTACTTTGGATTTAAATTTACCATAGTTCCCAATTATGGCGGGCTCATTTCTTTATTGAGATATACGTATTGCACACTATTAGAAATAAAATAATTGCAAACATGTGTATCCACTAATAATATCGTTTTAAGTAATACACACACACACACACACACACACACACACACACATATATATATATATATATATATATAAAATCAAAACTGTCACGTTCAGGCAGAGGGATCATTAGCACGAAAGTAACAGCGGCATAAATGGTCGAAATGATTTCAAGTTTTAGTTGACGTAATTTGTATTCAGTTCGAATGAACGCCTATGGGAAATGTATGACCCAACTTCTCAAATGTCTCTGTTGGGGTTATTTCCTGCTGATGCTAACAGTTTACATAATACAACCAGCCACATACTAATTACATGGAGAGAAGAACCGTCAATTAACCCTCATTTACCGATTATGTATTTTTGATAGAGCTCAAATCGTAGGATTTATGGTTTAATCCTTGTGCGGGTGGTGTAATGGATAATGGATCTGAATTCTTAATCGGACAGCCAAATTCTAATTCCTGTTGGGTTCATTATATTCCCTTATACGCAAATATCATTGGGAAAGGTATGAATGCACCTATTCTCTCCAGCTATGGATAAATTAGTACGACTTGTATCATTAAACATTATTAGCTAAAAAAATTACGATTTACAAGGCGGTCGGAAAGTCTTGTTACCTCCTGCATAACATACATTTCTTTTTCATATGGTTGACACGAGCTCCTACACTTTGGAAGAGAGGCACTGTGGAGTAATGGATTGCGGCTCGGATTGAGGAATCGCAGAGCCGAGTTCAAATTCCATTCAATTCCATTACATGCACTTACTTGAGAAAGGTATGAATCTTCTTCTTCACTCAGCTATGGATAAATAACAGGACAGACCGTGTTCTATTTTCTTGAATGGTAACTGCTCTACTGCAAAAAGTAATGGCTATCTATTGCGGGAAAAAAAATCTCCCTCGTCAGTCATGTATCGAAAGATTCATGATCGCCTAAGCGTATATCACGCATGGCACATAACTGACTGAATTCTTGCAAGAGCAAAGGGAGAGTTTTACAGTAACCATACCAGAATACCCATCAGTTGAAGGAAGTCATTTGGAAAGGCTTTGCAACAATCAACAAAGCACAGCTTCGTAATATATCAAAGATGGCGCCGCATCATTTTGTGCCTCGAAAATGATGGTGTTCATATAAACCTTCTCGATGTGTGACATTGTCAATGAAAGTGAATAAACTGAATCCAGTACATGTACTTTGTATTACTGTATTACTTGTTCTTCTGTAGTTCTCATTACTTTTTGGTAAGGTTGACAAACCTTTTGCACAATCCTGTACATGTACTTTCTGGTTTAAAATAACCTGCAAAGAATTGATAAATAAAACAAAAATCAATCAATCTGTTTGTTCATTTTTTTTGTGGATGTTATATTTTTCTACTTCAGGCACGAGTTTAGTAAATCTGCTTAATGTGAGGTCCTTTTGTTCTGGAACTTGTTATGCTTTCTTATAAAGGAGCCTACATAAGATTAGTATGTTCGGAAAATAATTAGAATTTGTGTTACGCACACACACGCATATGTCATTATACGTGTGGATTTTTATATAAATTTTAACGATATTTTTATATGTTATTTCGCAATCTCACGTTCCATTTAATTCCAGGTAATTCATATTTACTTCCCTTGATTACAAGTCTATGCTGAGAAGTGATTCATGGAAAATCTACTTTTAAAATAATTAAAATAAATGTATTCAAGAATTTAACCAATAATTTAACAAAGATAATACAAAGCGGTTTATTAGCAACATAGTATCATATGGGATATATATATATATATATATATATATATATATATATATATATATATATATATATATATATATATATATATATATATATTATATATTTAAAGAATGTTCTCTTCGAGGAGCGTCGTGAAGTGTTCAAATTCGACAATATTTTATTAATAATTAGGGAAATCAAGTGGAGGGTCTGATAGAAGTAGATAGTAATTTAGAAAAAAAAATCACCCGCGATACCATTATTAAACTACTTTGACATTTCGGCCATCTTTAGTGTTTTAAAAAAAGATTATGAGAATTGGAATAAAACCTAAACATATGATGAAAGTGAATTTATAAATTATTTTGTTCTTGAGAATCAACCATTATTTATTAGATTGATTATTTTTATAACATTCTAAAAAAACTAGTACTTTTACAATAAGTTCAATGAAATATTTATCATTTACTAATTTATAAAGAAATAAATGTAAAAGTTTTATTCATAAATTTATAAATATTTACTAAATTATTAAAATATTTAACAATTAAGAAATCCTTATAATTTAATATTTTGTAAATTTTGAATAAGTTGGAAATTAACCCATATTTTGCCAACTATTCCAGTAAGTAACATGATAAATAATGTAAATAAACAATCTAATACATAAATAGTTAATTATTAATTATTAATAGTGTTTATTAATTAGGATATTAATACATAAATAGTGTTTATTATTTTTGTAAATACTCAAAAACAAAAAAAAGTATGTGTAAATTCAACTTCATATGTATAGGTTTTATTACAATTCTAATCATCGATGTTTAAAACGATAACCATTTCCGAAGAGTGAAGGTAGTTAAAACAATAACGGTGTCATGGGAAATACTGTCCTTTTTATAGTCTGTCTTACTGCGGGTTCGTCCATGTTTGCCAAAAAATAATTTATTGATTATCCAAATCCCAAATCATTGAAAGTTTTCATCTTTTGCACCAAAAAAGCAACATTTACAAATATAGCTTTTTATTTACAGACAGGGGGCTTGAAGAACATACGTAATGAAGGGTGGGGTGCAAATTCTATTAGCCCAAGGGTTGGAGAATATACGTAATGAAGGGTGGGGTGCAAATTCTATAAGACCAGGGCTTGGAGAACATACGTAATGAAGGGTGGGGTGCAAATTCTATTAGACCAGGGCTTGGAGAACATACGTAATGAAAAGGGGGGTGCAAATTCTATTAGACCAGGGCTTGGAGAACATACGTAATGAAGGGTGGGGTGCAAATTCTATGAGACCAGGGCTTGGAGAACATACGTAATGAAGGGTGGGGTGCAAATTCTATTAGACCAGGTCTTGGAGAACATACGTAATGAAGAGTGGGGTGCAAATTTGATTAGCCCAGGGCTTGGGGAACATAGGCAATGAAGGGTGGGGTGCAAATTTTTTGAGCTCGGGGCTTGGAGAACATACGTAATGAAGGGTGGGGTGCAAATTCTATTTGCCCGGTGCTTGGAGAACATACTTAATGAAGGGTGGGAGCAAATTCTATCAGCCCAGGACTCTCGTAACCCTTTCAGTGCTGTGTTCCTGAACAAATTTAACCCTTCTGCCTGAGGTCCTGAGTTAAATTTCGCAAATAATTGGTATGTAATGTTTTAATAGTATATATAAAAATAGTTACAAGTTTTTACCCACCGTTTAAACGGTAGATGGGCATTACGTCATTTTTCTCTACCACCGGTAATGCGGTGGTCAAGGCTCAAAGGTTTAAGTTCTAAATCCGGCCTTGAGTATGCACCTATAGTATATTTATGCATTTACACATTTTATTTACGTTATCCTTCGTGACAAGCCAGTGATAAGGTTTTTAGCTGATATGTGGCGGGAGAATAAAATCTACGAATCATAATCATCACTACAATATGCTTCAGTCTGTAATTATTTATATTTATGTATGAGATAAAAACGTTGCGACCAGATAAAGCGAATATAAAAAGAGCCATGACGAAAAAAGATGTCTATGCGAAGTTATAGTCCTCGCATTCTCCCCGTTGTAATCGAATATCCATTTCTCTTATTCTAGACAATCTCAAGATGAAGATTTTGTGTGTAATCAAAAGAAAGTCTACGATAAAAGGATATATTGTGGATGAGGCATGAAGGGGGCGGGAAGGTTTAGCGAGCGGCTATCAGGACGCATTTCGTTTCAGAAACGGGCAAAAATATTTACTTGATAATTGCGTCGGGATATGCGAAGACTTTGTGTGCCGATAGGAAACAAAACTATCAATAACAATTCCGACAATTCTGTTATGTCAGTTTTATTTGATTTACAATTTGTTTCCGCGCCAAACCGATTCGAGGCTGATCGAGAAAATCTCGGTTGCGCACAAATTATATTTATGTTTGTATATAGAAGGCACCTGTCTGTTTACCTTCGAGCACCTCTCTTAGGGCATTATATCTGTATAGAGTGACATCGGTCTGCATAGCTACAAGACAAAACTTGAAATTATAGCATCTATCTATCTATCTATCTATCTATCTATCTATCTATCTATCTATCTATCTATCTATAGGCCACAAATAATCTTAGATGAAAGAAAAATACTGTAACACAAAAACTGTAAAAGTATTAATACGGGTAGACATAATTCGAAAAAAAACAAACTACATTAACCAACATTTCTGCAATTTAGGAAAAAGAATACTAAATGTATTTCACAAGTAATAATAATAATAGTAATAAACGCTGGTGTCTCCCCGCCCCAAGGCTCTATCCTGGGTCCCCACTGTTTCAGATTTTCATCAATGACATTCCTGATGTCATCAATTCCGAATTGCTCATTTACTTCTGTGTCAATAGAAAATCTGACAGAAATGACCTCCAATTTGTTGTTAACTGGTACAGAAAATGGCTTGTAAATATTAATGCCTCCAAAATGAAACTGCTCTCATTAACCACTATCGAGAAACTTTCCCGTCCGCCATCAAAATGGCTGATGCTAGACTCATGGAAAGCAACTCACTGCTGTCTCTTGGCATCACGTTTTCAATGAAGTAGAACGACTACATTGAATCAATAGCTGCATCTACTGCAAGGTAAGGTGAGTTACTGTGTCGTGCCAGAAGTTTTTTTTTTCTCGTCAGAGTCCATCTTGCACATTTACAAATCTACACTTCCCCCGTACATTGGATACTGCTGCCATATCTGGTCTTGTGCTCCTGCTACTCATCTCGAGGTTCTTGACAAATCCCAAAGAAGAATCTGTTATGCAATCGATCCTGAATTATCATCTTAAAGTCAGTCTCTTTCTCACCGACGGAACGTGACTTCCCTCTACAAATATGGCAAATGCTCTGACGAGCTTTTTTCCCTGGTGCCGGGTCCATGAGAGTTTAAGCGCGCTACTAAACTGATATCTTGGTCCAATCCTTTTACTGTTAATTTAGTCGAATGTAAGCGCTACTTCTACGCCAAACATTTCTTTTCTTGCACTTACCGTCTGTGGAACTCTCTTCCGTTTCCTTCCTTCCCTGACAACTACAATCTTCAAAAGTGTTAATGAAACATCAGTCGCCATGTTCTCTCTTCTTGAAACCCGTTCAATTCTTCCACCTTCACCCTCTGTAAACCTCGGCGTTTCAGTAGATTTTCTGCTTTGCTTGGGTTAAAATAGTTAAACAAATTAACTAAATAGTAATAAATATGGATACAAAGTAAACAATAAAGTATTTAATTACTTATTCTACAATAAATTGACAAAGACGACAGTTTGTTGAAGACTGCTGAATATTGTGAAATGTTTCAGTGATGACATCGGTATGGATTTCACTTTAGAGTTCAAATTAGATTATGTTCAAGGATCTTATCTGGTTTATCGACTCGAGAGGTTTGCCTCGAAACGCTCATCAGGGCCAGATATTTGATAAATATCGCCCTGATGTTAACCAAGTAATTTACTTGGACATTTCTTTCTTTATTTACCAAATATATATATATATATATATATATATATATATATATATATATATATATATATATATATATATATGTATATATATATATATATCGGAATATTTTAATTCAAACAGGATTGGGTAAATAATTTAGACATATCATGTCGATTAGTCTTCGTTCTTATGCTTTCAAATTCGCGTAGTAATTTTTTGGTAGACTTAGAAAATTGAGTAAGAAAAATACCAAAATTTCAATCTTATCTGAGACTATCTTCGGAGGGGGATGTATAACTTTTTTCTGTGAATTTAAAACTTTTCAAAATGTTCGTTCTTTTAATGCTTATGCAGCTTTCTGGATTCAAAATTTGAAAGTTCAGTATTCGTTTGGTTCTTTCTAGTGTAAGGGAAGTATTTTTTAGTCTTTGCTCATACGTATATAATTTTTTTCCTGACCATTTTAAGACTTTGTTGCTATACTCAGAGTTGACTATTTGGGGCTTTAACTCTCTTATATAAAGGGCTTGACGAATTTTTACTTTTTGCTTGTTATTGTTTTATGTAATATAGATATATTTTCAATTATTATCCGTCAAATCTGAGTGTGGGCATGAATGTTTCTTTAAGTGGTGACATATTGAACTATAAACAGCTAAATGAAACGTAAATCTTTTTCTTATCGTCATCGTAGTAAAGCCAACGTAGATATTGACATTTTTATTAGAGATAAAATCTCCTAAAGGACATTTAAATTGATACGATATGTTGACTTTTTCCAAGATCCTAGTTGGCGGAGAAGAGTTGTTTTGGACAACTAGGTTGGTTGTATTAAATTTAGTATAGTATATAATTAATTTTATCTATTACTTGGATCAGTGGGAGATATATTAGTGTTCATTTTGTGATGCCAACGCACGCTCGTTGCCACTTTTGTAATGTTCGTTGTAGTAGATACTTTGTAATCTCCGATACAACTATAGTAACGCCGTTGAACAATACTGGTGTCAGACGCCTTCGAATATCACTCGCACTAATAGTACTTGCTCGATAATACTCGCTCAAAAGTAACCAAGGATTAGTGATCAGTATAGACAAATAGCATGGGGAATAGTATAAAGAATGGGGAACCGTATAGTAATGGAGGATAGTATAGAAATAGTGATCAGTATACTAAGAGAGGTTAGAAAATAAAGAGCGATCAATTAGACGTCACGCTAATTCCCATATATATATATATTTCCTTTACCATCACGTGATCTACTTATTAGAAATGGAATCAACCGTTTCAGTTCACTGGTGATCTGTGTTCTATCATCAGTGTCGGCAGCAACAGTTTATTCCTATATAATCGTTTATGAGTTTTCTTTAGAAGTATTTCATCCTTTTTATAGTTAGAATATATATATATATATATATATATATATATATATATATATATATATATATATATATATATATATATATAATATCTACGTCCTCCGGTTATTCTCGTGGTATTTATGGAAGGGATTTCCTGCGATGATGGAAGGAGAACAGTGTTTTTCAAGTTTAAAGGCAACCTTCAACCCTCAGTGTCCATTTTATATTTACATACGCTCTATCCCTGACGCTGAGTACTTTAACCCATAAACATAGCAGCCATTAAAACTATATATATATATATATATATATATATATATATATATATATATATATATATATATATATATATATATAACTAAATAAACCATTGGTAACAGCTGATATTCCTACTAAAGCAAGACAAACCTTTCTAAGCGACAAAGAAAATAAAAAAAATGTATTAAATAAAGCTAAGAACCAATAAAAAATATATATATATATTGTTATCCACATACTGTTTCGCTGTATCCCAGCTCATCAGTGTGGCTAGACGTCTGGTTGCCTCTAGCTAGGATCGAAACCCGACTAAACTGACGTCAGTTGGAGATTCTGCCATTAAGCGATTAATAGATATTAATAAATATGCAGATTATTCCTCAACTTCTTGAACAAGCCAGTCGTTGATGTACAATATTTCCAAAACCTTTATAATAACTGTGTTCAAGCTTTCGATTCTCGGGTGGGGATGGGGTATCCTCAGTGAACTATAGTGTTTTATGAAACGGTAATAGTTTTAAGTAGTACCTTTTGTGCAAACTTATATTCAACTTTACTCGAGCAAATCTAAAATCGCAGGAAATCCCTTCCATCAAGTACCACGAGAATAATCGGAGATCATGTTTATATATATATATATATATATATATATATATATATATATATATATATATAAGCAATGGAGTATGTTATGTTATTGACTGTAATGACTTTATTAATGCATCGTTGCTACTGTCTTCAATTACTTTTAGTCTATTTTTTAATACTGAATCTTGGTGTTATTTTCGTGTTGTTTATAAGTTATTGCCTAAACATTGTATGGTCGTTATAGTGCTTATTAATGCCCTGTTTGATAAAAAACTTTGTTCTACTAAACAGCACATAAATTTCAGGAAAGTGTTTTGCTGTGTAAATTAAGACTTATATTGTTTACAGATATATTTTTATATATATATATATATATATATATATATATATATATATATATATATATATATATATATATATATATATACATATACACACACACACACACACACACACATATATATATATATATATATATATATATATATATATATATATATATATATGTGTGTGTGTGTGTGTGTGTACGTGTGTGCATATGCATATTGAGAAAAATGACCTATATCGGAATATGTATGCAGATATAAAATCTGTGGACATAGCAATCAATGCTACATGGTGACTGGCAGTTTCGTACTTAAATCAATTATAAGATAAAATTTATAAACGTATGAGTACAAACAATAAGTCAATACCCTGATGATCACTCAATGTGTAAAATTAATTTCATAAATAAACCATTGGTAACAGCTGATATTCCTACTAAATCAAGACAAAGCCTTCTAAGTGACAAAGAAAATAAAAAAAATGATATTAAATAAAGCCAAGAATCAGTAAAAAATAAAAAAAAATATACAAAAAGCAGAAAAACGAACAAAAAAGAGAAAAGGAAATATAAACTGAAAAGAAAAGACCTACAAAGGCAATAATACACGCTACACAATGAGTTAATGTCAGAACAAACACATTAACAACAATGCCAAAAAAAGACAATGTTTATATCGCTACTTCGAGTCACTCTCAAACGTAATCGTCAGGTGACAAGAATAAGTTTGAGATGATTATGCGAACATTGCTCGAAAATAATTCTTCGAAAACAATTATTCGAAAAATATTTATTCGAATTGTAAATTGTTTGAATGAAAATTAATCGCAAGGACAATTATACTAAATGATAATTCTTCGAAATGTAGAATTGTTCATTGCAATAAAAACGTAAAAATTAAGAGGAAATAGACAAATGATAATTATTCGAAATACAAATATCTTTAATAAAACAATTTACTATAAAAAATCCTTATAACCTTAAGTCACATCATACTGCACGAAAAGGAGTACTCGTTAAAGAATGTCACTAATTTTTTAAGCTTTCCCTTTATGTCACGATATTTCTTGGCGCTCTTGATATATTGGCAATCTTCCCTTACTTTTGCAATATGAATTTCTTGCAAATGTTTTAAGAGCGTCTAAGAATATCCATATTGTGGGATGATGGGATGATACTTGCTTCAAAAAGCCCTATGCCATCTATCAAGGGCATTATTAATTCTAGGTAAATTGAAACTCTCAAAGCTAGACCATATATTTATTTCAAACAAACGTAGGTATTTCGAAAAATTATCATTTAGTATAATTGTCCTTATGATTAATTCTCCTTCAAAGAATTTACAATCCGAATAAATGTTTTTCGAATTATTGTTTTCGAACAATTTTCTCGATACGGTTTGGAACTTTGTCTATTTTCTAAGCGGCATATATATATATATATATATATATATATATATATATATATATATATATATATATGAGAGAGAGAGAGGAATAGACTATAGGGGAATTGATTTTAAAATTGGGTTACAATTATAAAATCAAGTCTACCTAAGAGAAGAAAATTGCCACGGAACACTCCATAGACTCGAGATTAGTGAACATTTTCTTACATATATCTGTGTGTGTGTCTGTATTTATGTACGTTTGTTTATATATGTGTCTGTGCTTGCACATGTGGATGCACAGGTGTGTTGAAACAGATATATGCCACAACATTTCAATATAGAAAGGGAGGTGCAGCCTCATTGATACATATGTACACAACCACACATGTACATATGTATGCTTGACGATGTCTTATATAAATTCATCGCATCCTTATAATATTTCCTATGGCTTTACGTGAACTTTCAAATAAATTGTGTTATTCATCTTAACAATGCATTTTAATTTTTCATTTTTGTCAATGCAAATATAGATTACTCCACGAAATAGCATGTAAAACATGAAAGAGCCGTATGGGACCCCCCCCATACCCAGACATATAACAGATACATGGAAACAACGGCATCCATTAAAATTCCATGTTTCCAAGAAGTCTTGGTCTTGAAAGCTCAAATTATTGCTAGATACGCATTACTGATATTCGAAGAGCGAGATAGAGAATGAGAGAGAGAGAGAGAGAGAGAGAGAGAGAGAGAGAGAGAGTATGTATGTGTGTCAAAGAGAGAGAAAAGAGAGACCTGACCACTGTTTTACCGGTGGTAAAGAAAAATGACTTAATGCCCCACCACCGGTTGAACGGTGGGTAAACACTTGCGTTGTGTTTTGCTATTAGTTGTCTTATTTTGAAGAGCCATTCAGAAAATCCGTAAGATTCTGATGACATCGGACGTTATACAAACATGTCCGCACCTTTTCATTGTGTTTTCTACACGTGTCTTGGATAAAAAGGATCATTTTTACCATGAATCGGGCAGAGTCTTAACCTGGATCGTCAGGGAAGCAATCAGGAAGTTACACTTTTCTAACTATTTTTATATCAACCATGAAACATTACACAGCAATTTTCTGTGAATTTTTACTCAGGTGTTCAGACAGAAGGTTTACAATTGTTCAAGAACGCGGGGCTCAAACTCTTAAGATTAGATAATAAACTCTAAATCAATTTTATTAAGGCCACATTTATATATATATATATATATATATATATATATATATATATATATATAATTAGTTATGATGTTATTTTAATTAAATTATTTTATTCATTTTTTACAAGCAGAATAGTATTTAATGTTTTTAGGAGATGCTAAATATTATGAGCATGTAATTCACTTTTATTCGCAGTATTTCCCGCCATGTTGCATGAATCCACGTATAACACCTATCCCAAATTTGATAAGAAATATTTAGAAGCTAAAGCCTAAAGTGTTATATGATACTTTTGGATATTTGTTTTGATTTTTAACATAATTTTGGGAGCATAACATCCAAAAATAGACTGCAGCTCCGAATCTGAAAGCACATAAGAATAATGTCTTATATAAAAACCTGTGATATATTATGAAAAATGAAGCAGCCTATTATATATCGTATGGGACATACTTAAAAGCGATCTTCCTTCTCTACTTTACATCCAGAAATTTGCAAAACAAATACCGGCTACTGGGATTCTCATTTCCACAAGAGAATTCCAAACATTTTTAAAAAATTAATTTCACCTCAAACAAAGCAATAAAGTCACTTAGACGCGAAAAGTTACTGAGTGGGAAAGGATAAGAGAAGAAGAAAAGCATAATTAACGAGAGAGAACAATAGGAAAAAAACAAGAGTTAAGAAGACAAAATATAACGATTGATATTCCTTTGAAAGTTTGAAGATCAGTATTGGTTGCAAAGCACCAAGGTCGAAGACGATTTCATATTTTATAATCGTTATTTAATCAATGCTAGTGCCCGCCACACGCTGTTAAACAAAGCGTAAAAATAACACCTAAAGCGTTACATTTCTATCGGAAAACCTATCAACAAGATATATAACGGACGGTGATTTTGAGTAGATTTCTCTTTGAAAAAAGAGCTCTATACGGCGGTAAATACGATATCTATCTATCTATCTATCTATCTATCTATCTATCTATCTATCTATCTATCTATTATATCCTATCCTTTCCTTCTATATATCATATCCTATCTGTCTTCCTATCTATCTCTTTCTCTTTTTATATATATATATATATATATATATATATATATATATATATGGCATTTACCCATCAGTAAATTATTATGAATTTCTCTTGAGTATATATGTATTATATATACATATATACATATATATATACTCAAGAGAAACTCGCAATTATTTACTGATGGGTAAATGGCAGATGCCATATATTATTTGAATGATTAGAATTACTTCACTTCAAACTTTAGTTTGATAACATAAAATATACTTTGTTAAATTTCTCAGATGAGATATCACCACGGCTTATATATTAAGAAGCATAGATATAGTCCGTAGTTTCGCTTTTAAGCCAACAGCATTTTCGCTTCATCGCCTACTCAGGTAACTGGCCTTCATCACTTCAGATATGAGTCATAATTATGATGTACACTTTTCGTATAAAGTCCGGTGGCTCGTTGGTGCGTGTTAAGTGCTATTCGCGCGTCAAACCTTGGTGCGAAGAGACATTTGTAATGTATCGTTATGTCGAAAGCAGCAAACATGACAAGTTTAATCCTTCAGAAGTAGCCTGTTTGCATTAAAGAGATTAGATAAACCTGCTTCCGTGAGATAAATAAATTAAGTCTTTCACCAATTTCCGATACGTTAATGGTTGCGACAGTCACCAGATAAAGCCCGGAGTGCGCACCATTTGAAAAGTTATGCATGAAAGATCGCAAAGTTAAGATGATTGCGTGTTTATTTTGGGTGATTTTTATTACATTTTCCTCTCACCGATGTAAGTGTGGACGATATCTCAAGTTCATTGATGTAATATAATGTAAGCAGATGGAACGAACAGTCAACTGTTGGGACGAGGTTAATTCTGTAGTAAAGTAAAATACACGTTGTTTTTAATTTTATTTAAACAATTTTTTAGGAAATTAAACTTCATGAGTCCATTGTTTATCACTCTTTCTTGGACTGATGTGAGCTTTGTTCTAATTCTTTGTTTTAAGGTAATAGTAATAAGAAAATACACCTTTCTCAAAATGAAACTTTCTATATGCACTTATTGTTTCATTGTTAGTATTACTGTCGATTAAAATATTTAAGAAAAAAGACTATCCCAAAAGCAATTTCACAGGATATTGTTCTTTTCAAGTCTATTCAGAGTTATCGCCCCTTGTGATATTAATAATATTACAAATATCAATTAATAATAATATTAATATTATTAATAATATTAAAATTATTAATTAATAATATTAAAATATTCCTTCTCTAGAAGACTTTTTTTAATCATTGATCTAAGAAAGCATTTGTATATACATGAATTTCTAGAGATTTCTGAACGAGTAATATGCTATACATGATATGCATAACGCGTCGAATAATATGTATCGAGTTCTCATGTTAATAATATGGTTTTCTCGCATCACCTGTACTCTTACTATTACTCGCACTACCTAACCTGTATTTAGTTTTTTCATCTCCTTTTATCTTTTTTTATAACGTAAGCAAACACCAATGTATTTTAAGTGTTTAGTGATGGTAATGCTAATGTTCTTTCCCTATATGGAAATATTTAGCATTCATTAAACAAGAATTCAGTACTGCTTTCAGTTAAAATTTATAAAATCTTTCTTCTAAAACAATTCTCAGGAAAAGAGGTTTTTCAAGTCCAGTTGCTGTTAAGGATCTTTCAAGTATTGATGCAGTTTTCCTTCCTAACCATTTGTTTGAAGTCGTGTGGAATGTCAACATGTTTATTATGTCATTATTTTTTCTTCGAGTTACATTTGTTATAACTTTTAGTTGTTATTGCTGTTGGTAGTCATCATAGTGCTGTGGTTTCTATTATTTGGCATAGCATTTTATGATCCTGTAGTGACAATCCACATTGCTCAAAAAAGGATGATCTTTGCTAAGACGCTCAGGCTTCCCATTCTAGAAAACAATTTTGACCATCTATCTGAGAGAACGGCTTTATTCGGCGACTGAGCAGTTTAGATATTTGGTGCCATACATGATATCTATATGAAAGTTTGAATCTGATGAGGCTATCAAAGTACATGCCTCAAGATTTCAGGCCGACGTTTTACTTTTGTAGTAAATTTTCAAATTTAGGCAAAACTACCTTTAGTATTTATTAATTCTACCTCATGACTTGTTATGATGGAATCAGTTAATGTGCTATTAATACTTTGATGCCAGTTATAATTCTGTTTCTGAAAGATGTATCTTAAATCCTCCTTCAGTTATGTCTGAAACACAATCCAATGAAGAGAAGAAAACAGATTCATAGTAAACGTTTATATAAGTTTTGAGTTTGGTAAATTCATCACCTTTTATCCCTTTCGTCATCTGACACATTCAATTTACATTAGTGTACATTTATCGATGATTGTTTCTTTGGCTAAATATAAAATAAAACTTTGCATATACCAAAACTGTCTGTGTTGAGGTACATTCAGATTTTAAAGATCACCTAAAAAATCGCGTCAACACAACTGATTAAATTAAAAGTGAGGTCGTTTATTTTTTGAGAATGTAATCTCTCCCTGATTCAGGAAAATAATGGATATATTAGCACAGCAAAATTTATAATATGGTAAAGCTGTCTTTAATATTCTCTCTTTTTTGTATATTAGTCTCTCGTAAATAAAATATATTATTTTGTCGGTCTGGTTTTAAAAAGACTGAACTCAATGCTTCTATAGATATTTTCTATGGGTGTGTTTTCTTCCTGTTATTGGACTGCGTTTCAGGCATAATTAAAGAAAGATTTAAGATACATCTTTCAGAAACCGAATTATAACGGACATTAAAATAGTAATGACACATAAACTGAGTCAGTATCAATAAAAGAAAATATTACTCCACGATAAGACGAATATTCCTAATCTTTATAGTTATTAATTGAGAAATTAGACAATTATAATGTCAACACAAAACAGATTAGTTATGTGATTAGAAAACTGAACTTTGAAGAGATGTGATAGGGGTGCTTTTGCCCAACACCGCAAGTTAATACAAAACCAAAACATTAACTTAAAAGCTACAGTCAAATTCTTATCAACTATCGAAAAATGTATACAAATGTAAACTGAATATCTCACATTATGAAAAAGAATAAAATTTATGTCTGAAACGCAATCTAATAAAATGAAAAAAAAAACACACACACATTCATAGAAAACATCTACACAGGCATTGAGTTTGATAAATAGATTACCTTTTATTCCTTTTGCCATCTGACACATCCAATTCACATTTGTGTACATTTATCGATGCTTATTTCTTAGGCTAAATATAAAATAAAATTTCGCATATACCAGAATTGTCTGTGTCGAGGTTCATTCAGATTTTAAAGATCACCTAAAAAATCACATCAACACTTCTTATACAATAAAGCTCGTCAGAGTAGTTCCCATGTAAATATTTGCAGAAAGGACAGCGGAAAGGAAGCCATACCACATCTCTGAGAAAGTGACTGAAGCCTAGATTTGCATTGCAGAAGTGAGTTCTACACTCGGAAGGTGAAGATCAGAAACAGTGTAGGACTTGGGATAGAGGTTTGGGAGACACCGGCGTTCGTCTGAAAGGATATGAAAATTAATAATTCATAGGGATTTCAGGGAGTTGCCTTACACATCATACAATGTAGTCGTGATTTTTTCGTGTATCGGAACTTGCTCCCCAGGAGGGATAATAGAACGACCCCACTGGCTAGTTGAAGATGTACCCGTCGACGTGGTGAATAAAAGTATATAAGTTTAAAATTCCTTTGTTGAAGTTCAAATTTTACCTCTGAACAAACCAACTAAAGATCACCAGCTGTGAGAGAGAGAGAGAGAGAGAGTTGATCGAATCGACCCCGTCACCAAGACTGCTTCCCACCCAGCACGAAACGTGCAAAGACGAGAGACGATCCAACAATGTGAGTGAATCAATACCGTCGCTTCCAGACTATCCCCAACACAAAGCGGCTATGCAGCAAAAGGGGCCAGAAAGCTCTCCAGTGTTCTAAAAAAAACAGTGACTATAAAAGAGGTCTTCCAGCAAGCTGGAAAGCAAGATGCAGCGAGGCAGTAGTTGCGTAGTTTGGAGAGAACTGGAGCCAGTTCGGAAGCACATTTCGTTAGAACGATAGTATCTCTTCATTTCCACTTACCTTATTGGAGTATAAATTTCGGATTATGTCTTTGCCTGAAGGTAGTTTATGGAGATAACTTTAAAAGATGTAGCTCAGAAAAAGTACCTACTCACTATAAACTATAGCATATATGAATAAATATAAGTAATATCTAAAAGGACAAATATATAAAAAAAAGGTTTTGCTGGTAATATCTCTAGGCGAGACACCACCATCCGGGGGTGATATTTTTATATTCTTTATAGAAAACGCATGGATTTCGCGCGTTGCCCTGACCTACGTTATATCCAGCGAGTGATTACAGCTTGTAGGTGACTCAAGTGATGTCATGTTACTAAGTAACCCTAAGGATTTTAGTAAATTCGTCCCGTAAAAAAAGTTAGATCATTGCCTTCCGCATCCTGGACAAGATTTAGAACAGAATTAAGCAGCTGACAGCGAAATGGAAGGAGGATTTTTCAGACTTTCAAAAATTACAAAAGACACTAGGAGTATATATGAACCTCTATGGGGAGTATTTGACGGATGTTAAGTCGCTATTATCATGGTGGGGGGGTTTACTTTTGATAATTTTAAACGACAACAGCATTAGTAATAGGAAGTGTTTGAAAAAACTCATAAGATGTTTTTCTTTAACACTGAGCAAGTAGCAAATCAAAGACTCACGATTAGCCAAGTAAATTACAGGCAGTTTTATTTCTTTATAGGAGGAAATATTTCCCGTAGTAATAATGGAGCGATACTTAAATTTTATTTTCAGATTTAGAGGCATTTAAATTCGCGTATTTATACAGCAATAAAGAAGAATATACTTTTAAGTAATCATTTATGTAAATGTAATTTTCCATCAATATTGCTCCCTTATGTTCCGCTTCTGCTACATAGATTAAATAATAGAAAAAAAAATATACTGGTCTTTGAATTCGATTTTTCCAAATAGTGTTTTTTATTTACCCGATAAAATCCAGAATTTCAACTCACGATAATATCAAACAAGAAGAACTAAATTATATATCAATAATATTTGAAATGTTTTTACTGATGTGATAATGTCCCAGAATTCTAACGAAGAATTATTAAATCAGATCATTATTTTGAGTTGTTTAATAAACTAGTGATAAATAATATTACAAATAAATATTTTAATAATTAAAGATGATTGGTACATTCACTTTAGTTCATTTAGGCAATATTATAGTCAAATTGTACACACACAGACACACACACACAGAAACACACACAGACACACCCACCCACCCATATATATATATATATATATATATATATATATATATATATATATATATATATATATATATGTTTGTGTATGTATGTATAGGGAAGAGGGTATAAATAGTTCCAACGAGAGAAAAGTGTGTATAATAAAAAGAAGAGAGGAACCGCAAACGTTATTGCTTGTAATGTGCTTTTCAAAAAAATATA